CAAATGGCACGCATGCCACAGGTTCGCCATCACGGTTCTAGTGTTTCCTGTTACTGTTATATAGTTGAGCAGTAAAGCACATGGTGACTGTGCTCTTTGCTCTGATACGAATTTCCTCAACGTTTTAGCGGAATGGGCTGCTGAAAGGGGGGGTGTCACATTGCTGCAGGTTTTCAAGGTCCATAACGGCCCCTGCAGACACTCACGTACACACAAACACACATCTCACCCCCTCTTCATGGCCTCCAGGACACGGGAGCTGCCGCTTTGGGCGGGAAGATGCACCTGTTTGCAGATATTGTGTCTTTCCCGCATGACCTCGAAGACCTGCGAAAGGCAAAGAGGTCGTCATTGGCACACGGCTGCTGTCTGTCGGCGAGGAGATCAGCGGGGGGCCCAACCCACCTCATCCGGGAAGTCTTTGGGGTGCGGAGAAGTGAAGCGGATCCTCATCTCTGGGTCCACGGCCGCCACTCGGTCCAGAAGCTCTGCAAAACGCAACCCCCCTTTTTTGGCTTTGTAGACGGTCCGGAATCCTTGTCTGAGCTCAGGGGATGCCAAGGAGAGGAACTGGACCTCGGAGGTGTCCCGGTAACTGTTGACGTTCTGGCCCAAAAGGGTCACTTCCTTCACACCCTACGGGGAGAGAGAGAGATGAGGAGATGCTTGTCCATTGCTTCCTGTTTATGACCACTGCTGTGTCCCAAGTTCAATGGGGAAGACAGATTCACTGCCCACTTACCAATTGCAGTGATTCACTTAACAACTGCGGCAAGAAAGGTTGTAAAAGGGGAGCAAAACTCACTTAACAAATGTCTCACTGAACAACGGAAATGTTGGGCTCATTTGTGACCATTGAGTACTACCTGCACTGCAGGCTAAGCCACTGCTCACTGCCAGCAGTTTGATTCTCACCAGCTCAAAGTTGACTCAACCTTCCCTCCTTCCGAGGTCAGTAAAATGAGGACCCAGATTGTTGGGGGCAAGAGGCTCTGTCTGTCTGTCTGTCTGTCTATCGTCTCTCTCTCTCTCTCTCTCCCCCCTCTCTCTATTTTATGCTATCTCTCTATTTCTATATCTATATCTGGCTGTCTGTCTATGCAGTCTATCTATCATCTAGCTAGCTAGCTTCTATCTATCATCTATCTATCTGTCTGTCTCTCTCTTTTATGCTATCTATCTCTATCTATCTATTTCTATATCTATATCAGTCTGCCTATGAAGTTTATCTGTCTGTCTGTCTGTCTATCATCTATCTATGAGTCTGTCTGTCTGTCTGTCTGTCTTATCTATCTATCTATCCATCCATCCATCCATCCATCCCTAATCTATGTATGTCAATCTATCATACTATCATAGCTAGCTCTCTGGTTATCATGTATCTATC